AAGAAAGAAACAAGAAGGGTTGCTTCATGCACATCCACGGAGGCAGATTATAAATGGAAATTACGACGAGCCAAGTGCTATGATCACTACTCATATGTGCAAAAGAATTAAACCCGTCGCTTGCCAAACCCAATCTTACATTTTGAATTTCAAATGCAAAATTCGGGTACAACGAATCTAAATGCTTCCAAGCTGGAGAATTTGACGGGTGTCTCATAAATCCATCTTTAGGGCATTCAGTCGCATGCCTTCTCATATATTCTGCAGTATGTTTTGATATATACAATCTTTTCAACCTCGGTGTTAGTGGGAAATACCGGAGAATCTTAGCCGGTACTTTCTTACTAGAATTATCCCTAGTTGAACTATCCCCAACCATTGTTACTTTTTTCACTTTATATCTTGACGCACCACATGTAGAGCACACAGTTAAGTTTGCTGTCTCTTTCCAAAACAACATGCAGTTGTTAGGGCAAGCATCAATCTTCTCATAAGTAAGACCCAAATCATCAATAATCTTTTTAGCTTGTGAAATAGACCGTGACAAACAATTTCCCTCAGGCGACATATCTTTAAAAAGCTCTAAAAACGTATCGAAAGCCTTATTAGTCACATTTCCCAAACACTTAATCTGGTATAATTTTACGACGGCATCCAAATTTTTATACTTCTTGCATCCTGGATACAACTCTTTATCAGCTTGTTCAAGTAACTTAAAAAATCGCTTTGCCTTGGGTGTTTGACCATCAAAAATAGGCTACCTCGATGACCCTATGTTCTCACCAATATTTGGTTGCACAAATGTCTCATTAAGGAAATCATGCATTTCACCTATATCTCCTCCTTCAGCAACATCCATTTCCATGACATTTGTTGATTCAACATAAGGCTCACCATGATGTGTCCATCGAGCATTCATGTATAAAGGGTCCATTCCATGCCAAAGAAGATGTCCCACCACAGTCATCTTATCTTCAAAATAACGATTACAACATTCTTTACAAAGACATGTGATCTTATCTTTACGACTAGACTTGGCAAGAGCTTCATCTACAAATAAGTTCAACCCTGTAACATAATCTGGACTTCGGCGATCAAAATATACCTAACTTTTATCCATTGTTTAATTATTTTGCAGAACAGAATACCAAATTAAACCTATTCACACATGCAAAACCTAATCAGTCAATGGTCAGAACTAAGTAAAAAAATAGAAAGAGATATAGACAAACATCAAACTCCTAATGTGAAATGGAGAATATAACAGAAGTAAAAATAGTCTATCTGATGCATCAAGTTTGACATCAGTTTGTATTGTATAATTAGATGTATGGTATCTAAAAAATATTAATTCTATTTTGGTTTGTAAACTCTTTGAACATGTTCAGATAATTAAACATTCTCCTATAACTATTATTTTGGATTTCTCATTTCACCTATGCAAATAATTACAGTAGTTAAGCATAGGATCCATGTAACATTCAGCAGTAACCACCAAACATTCTTGGAGTTAATTATTTTTTATTTTTATTTTATGATGATACTGGGAAAAAATGAATCAAGAAATACAGAAATGACTAAGCCAGTGGAAAACACATATTCAATCGGATTGGTTCAAAAAAATCGGAGGTTAATTCTAGCAGGAGAGGGAATATTGTTCAAGGAATTGATGGGTTGATGTTCCTGCTAAAGGACTAGATGTTACTGATGTTAAAAAAGAACAAATCTATACATCAAGAACAAATTTCCTCATTAAAATAATTAATTAACGGCACAAAAATAATCCAATAAGAAATATAGTAAAAAGAAATAAACTCAATAAAAGTCAATGGAATAATCATGATGCTAAAATAACTCTAAAAAATGGACTTACCTTGAGGGCACCCTTGCAATGGTGGAAACGAAATTATACTGAAAAAAAATTATACTAACATTAAAATAATTATACTGAAAAAATATTAAAAGAAAGATGATATAAAAAACAATTATACTGAAAAAATAGTCTAATCTAAGATTTTTTTTATTTTCTTAGATAAAAATAAAATTAAATCGTCTACAAATCTAAAATTAAACATTCTACAAATTAAACATGGCCCAGTCCTCTTCTCTACAAATCTAAAATTAAACGTTCTACAAATCAAACAATACTCTAATCTAAGATGATAATTAAACATTCTAATCTATATTGAAAATCAAATCGTCTACGCACGAAGATTGGGAGGCCGAGAGGCACACAAAAATAAAAGAAAAAAAATTACCGATCGAGAAGAGGTAAGGCCAAAGTTTGGATCTGATCGCAAGAGAGGTAGGGCCGCGCGGGTGGTTTTTTATTTTTTGGGGGGAAATAGACGACATGAGTTAGATTTTAGGGTTTAGATAATATTAACCCTAAGTTTTTATTATAAAAAAAGGAAAACAATAGGGGCGGAAGTATACGCCTCTGTAGGGCAATACGCGCAGGGTTTTTTTTTCCGGGGAATAGAAGCAGTGTGGGTTTGTTTTTTAGGGTTTAGAAAACATTAGGGGCGGATATATATGGCTCTATTTAGTCTAAATTACTTAGTCTGACGCCTCTATTATTTTCAAATTCCCGCCAAACTTGTAGGGCTATTATGAACCGCCCCAAATAATAGTAATAGGCACATATTCAACATCCGCACCTAATTCATAATTAATAGGGGCAAATCACTATTTTTGCCCCTAATAGATCACCCCAAATGCTCACTTTTTTGTAGTGATGGTAAAAATATTTAATATCTTATTGTAGGGTCGAAAAATTGAAGTGTGGATTGATTCTCTTGTTTCAAGAAATGAGTTCGATCGCTTGGTACGAAACTCTTACAATCACTCACACACTCTCTCGATTATAAATGAAGAGAAGATTAATTCAACTCCTCTTTGTTTAACGTGAGTTCTTGGTGGCGAGAGGATGCTTCCATCGATGCTTGAGTTGAGATTACTTCCCATTGACGATCAGATCAAGATCACTTCAACTTGAGAAGAGAATCAAACTTTGTTGATGGCTTAGATTGTTAGAACCGAGGTTCGAATTCTAATCTTGAATGCCAAAGGTCTGCCTCCCGTGTTCTTCGTCTGCCCCTCCCCTGCTCCATAGCCGCTCATGGCTATTTATATGATTTCAGCACGTAACTGACGTGCTAAAATTATGGGTAGAGAGAGTAACTGATATGCTAAAATCGCGGAGTCGTGATGTAACCAACTCCTTGGATTTAGCCCACATTGCTGACTGGGTCTTCGGAGCTGTTACAGCTGGATCTCCTTCAGACGACGAGCCTCGCTGCATGGCGAGGTTCATCTTATTGTACGAGCCTCAATATGCAGCGAGGTTCGTCTTCTAAGGCCAACTTTGTAGTATAGTGAACTGTCTTCACTGACATCGTCTGACGAGCTTCGTATTCACCAACAAATTTCGTCTGCGATAGCTGAGTCCAACTGCATAGCAAGTCTTGTGAATTTTCTTTTGACGAGCCTCATCTTAACTAATGAGCTTTAGGTCTGGTGATGAGTTCGGAACCTCGTATCCAATGACGAGCTTCGAACCTCGTTTCCAATGACGAGCTTCGAACCTCGTTTCTAATGATGGGCTTCGAACCTCGTTTCCAATGATGAGCTCCGAACTTCGTATCCAACGACGAGCTTCGAACCTTGTATCCAATGACGAGCTTCGTCTTTGATGTAAAGTCTAATTTCCAATGATGAGCTTCGCGACGCAGCGAACCTCGTCTTTTGATGTTGAGCCTCGCTGCGTGGCGAACCTCATAGGCAAAGCTGTCAGGCGAGTTTCAATCAGTTCAGGCGAGCTAAGTTGTTAGGTGAACTTAGCATTGCAGGTGAACTTCAATGTTCAGACGAAGTCCAATCTTGCAGGCGGACTTCAGAACATGCTGCGAAGAACGGGTCATAACTTTCAAACCATAAGTCGGAATTGGACGAATTATATATGAAAATCGACTATCTCGACGAGACGGGTCCAACCAAACCAACCCCAAAGGGTTCGGTTTTCTCCTGTCCGTTTCGCCAAATTCCTTACGGTTTGAAAAATATTAGCTTTTTATCAGTTTTGAACTTCTTTGCTCGGAATTAAGGTAATTTTTATTGCCCAAGGGATAGTATAGTCATTTTAAATCATTTGTTCCTTTAGATTTAAATTATATTAGTTTTAGGGGGTTAAGTGAGAAAAGTTGATGGAGTCTATCTACAATAACTCCATAATTGAAGGGGGTTTTCTAGAGTTCAAATAGGTAAGGGGGTTTTGTAAAATTAACCCTATATAAGAATCAGATTAACGTAATGACTAATTACATGGACTATTAGTTCCATGCATTTAAAGATGATATTTAACAAAGTTGACGTTTTTGATCGGTCTTGATGATATGATAAAAAAAATCGATTTTGCTAATTATCTAGAAAAATGTTAATTTTATTAATTATTTTTAAAAACCGGTCTTTTATTTTATTTTTAAATTCTCCATTGAAAATCCGTAGGAATCAATAGTGGAAGAATTTTCAAAACCAACCTATTTCCATATTTTATCCCTAAAAAAGACCTGTTTTGAACTTATTTTCAAAAACCGACCTGGTTTCAGCCCTGGCGATAAAACCAGGTCGGTTTTTGAATTTTTTTTTTCGAAACTTCACGGGAGTTCAACTCCCGTGAAGTTTAGTAAATCTGCTAAACTTCACGAGAGTTCAACTCCCGTGAAGTTTCATAGTTCAAAAAAAAAATTTTGAACTATGAAACTTCACGGGAGTTGAACTCCCGTGAAGTTTAGTAAAGCTGCTAAACTTCACGGGAGGAAGTTTTTTCATAAAAACTAACCTGGTTTTCAGCGTCAAGGCTGAAACCAGGTCGATTTTTGCAAATAAGTTTAAAACAGATCGTTTTTTGGGATTAAATGTCCAAATAGGGTGGTTTTGAAAATTTGTCCAATCAATAGTTCGCTACCTCCGGTGCTTACAATTCTTCGCGGTACATCAAACCTGACCGTGCTCCGCCTTCTACCTTTCCCTTCTAAAGAAAATAATTAGAAAGGAGGGAAAACTAAAAAGAAAGAAAATTCAACAATTTCACCTTTGCAGTTTTAATCGCCTCCTTAATGGAGGAGCTTTGATCTCAAATAAATAAATAGATAAATTTCTAAATTTTGATGGAAATGGAGAGATTGAGCTCCTCGTCGTCATCCTCGGGATCAAGCAGCGGATCTCAAGTCCACGCCTTCGTCCCGAGGCGATCCGGAGGAGGTAACCTGATCCGATTCCTTAATCCTTCTTTTTGAATTTTGTAACTTTTTGATGTATTATTTTCATATGTTAGGGTTTGGTAGCGGAATGTTTGAGAGATAATTCGACGAAGCTTCATTTCAGAGATTTTGTCATGCATCTGCTCCATTTAATTTGCTTTCAGAGTGTTGAAACTGAGTAAAACCAGGCTGTTTTTCGTTTGGCTCTACGAAAGTAATGCTAGTAGTATGCGTTTGGCGAGTACTTCTTCTGAGATTTAATTAATATTGTGGGCTAAGCACATGAATATAGTTTGTGGTTCTCAACACTCACTAGGACTTTGGGGTTTTGGTGTATTAGGGGCATTTGGCATTATATCAAAGCAACCCAAGTTCAAATTTCGTCACGAATTTAAAGCGGATAAAAAGGATACCTCTTTGCAAGTACATGTTTATGTGTTTAGGTTTATGCGTTTAGGTTTAGTGAACAAAATATATTACCCACCACACCTTCATTGTTTCGGCATAGTAGAAGGGGCCATTTGACAGTAGTGATATTTATAGCAACATTATCTGTTAAATACTCCTGAGTAGCCACTTTTAACATATGCGTACTGCATAAATATATATATCGTTGGTTATTATTTAAGTAGAAAAGAACTTAATGTTAGATGATACACAGAACAATTTACTTCTGTAAAATTAGTGTATAATATATCCCATAAGGTCACCTTATACATAGTTAAGCAAAAATGGACATGTCTGTTGTGGCTCTGTCAGTTGAACATGTCAAGTTTTCGTTGGAGGAAGGGCAGTTTATATGCTAGATTCTTCCATGCAGTATTGAGTTTGTAGTTAACTTCAAGCATTGTTGTTGTGCAGTTTGGTTGCTCACATGTTCTCTTCAAGCTGTATTTTCTGAAGTCTTATTGATTTCTCATAAGACCACATTTTCCAACCCATGTTATATTAACCAGAACTTATGTCGTTTTAGCTAATTACTGTCAAGTTTATCATTTGCTTAATGTAGTTAATTTATATATAACTTGAAGTGTCTGTTCAGTACTTGCTGTTATTGTTTGTTTCTCTGCCACTTAGTTTCAATTTTCAGTAGGAAAGTAATTTTGTTAGAAAAATACTAACCAAACATATACTTCTCTTTCAAGTAGGTTTAAGGGGAACTGATTGTTTATTGCCAATAAGAACTGATTTCTTTTCAATGTAAGCATTAGTCAAGGCTACCTATAACAGTTAAAGAACTCATCCGCATAAACACTCTGCGATTAGGCAAGTTTAGGAAAGAGGAAAACTATCCAAAGGATAAAGAGGCACGCCTCAGAAAGGGAAGGGAATCTATCATGTCTGGAGAGAAAGCCTCCTCGTATAAGGAGAGAAAGCCTCCACGTATACGAAAAAAGAGCTTCACTTCCTGCAAGGCCTCCATTTTTGTTGCAAACACAGATTAGGGCTTTATATGTTGTTTGAACTCTAAATAAAGAAGTGGAAAAGATATATATTTCTATTGTATATCACTGATATCAGATTATGTTAATACATTAACTACGTATCATTTTCTTTTGTTGTTAATCTTTTATGAGAATAGTTTTTTGTGTTTCTAAAAATAACTTGTAAATGGCACTCATAGTTCTTCAAACATGTTTTAGGAAAGAGATACTTTTTTCTTCCTTCAAAACTATTGTTTTTTTTTCCAATAAATTAGAAGACAATATAAGTCATTCTAAATCATTTCTTACACAAGCATACTGCACCTTATATATGTTCTGGTTTTGTATAATCCAGCACTTCATGCAAAAGATGGTTTTGAGATGTTACCATCATGCGTGGCACAAACATGTGGAACTGGAAAAAAAATAAGGAAAGGAAAGAAAACCTTTTATGATTAGTCAGAATGCTGTATGATAGGGTATCCAACACCCTCATAACTTTTATGAACTACAGCTGATGATCAAAGTTAAGTGCTCTTATTGGTGGAACTATCAAGTTTTATTTGTTGTGAGGCTGAAATTGTAGAAGCTAACTCATCCACATGAAATACATGGATGTTGGTAAGTTCATTGCTTATAAGTGCAATGAGCATTCATGGCAAATTGACATCTGAGATAGGCTGCAGTCTGCTACTTTAAGCTAATATGCATTTAGAAGTTGATACCACATGATGGTTTTTTACTTGAGCTTGAGTGATTGATCCTTGCATGTATCTAGTGTATCAAATCTGGTAGTAGCTTGTCATATTTTCTTTTCCATTGCTCTTGTTAACTTTATTTTTGATTGGCATAATCAATGAATCTAAAAATGTAGAATTATGAAGGAAATAGCATATCATTCACAACAATTTGTTATGTCATGTGATATAAATTTCGATCAACTAATACTATATGAAAAATGATTATTGCTGATCTGTTTCCTGATTGCACTTTTTATTTTATTTTTTGTTTTTCAGCCTTCTACAAGTTTACGCAACAGAGTTTGCCCACTTGTAAACCTAGTTTGACACCAGTATCGGTGAGTTGATGGTCGTAGTTCATTTCTCAGTTCATTTCCATCTTTTCCTTAACTTCAACAATCCATTTTGTGTTTGCTGACTAACAGGTAATAATAACATTTTTGTTGATGGGCGTTGTTTTTATACCTGTTGGAATTATATGCCTTCACGCATCAGATAGTGTAATTTCTCCACTTAACCCTGTTTATGAAAGACTCTGATGCTTGACTTTTGTGTATTAGCTAATCTGATTTATACTGATACTTCCCTTGCATTATTATTTTACAGGTTGTAGAAATTGTAGATCGCTATGATAATGAGTGTATACCTGAAGTGTATCGAAGTAATAAATTAGCTTATATCAAGGACAGTTCAATTTCGAAGAATTGCTCTCGGACAATAAGGGTAAATACATCCTTCAGATTGCAATCTCTTTTGCATGGAGTTTATTGTCTTTAATTCATGTTCCATGTATGAACCCTTTTGGTTAAAGAAAAGGTCTAAAATGGTGTCGTTGATGATTTATCGGCTGCTCACATGGGTTCTCAGGTATAACGCGTTCGTCTGTCCGACGCGTCTTCTTCTGAGTAAACATTGCCTTGTTGGCCTCTGCAAGAGTCGCACGTTTGGAATCATTCCTTTGTGAGGGTGAAACCTTAACGGGCTCTTGGTCCTTTGCACGCACTGCCGAGCTGGTTGTTGCAAAGATCGATTTGTTAGGAGGTCGTGTGTAGGCATCAAAAATTGCCTATAGTTCTCCACAACCGGTTCAGTGTTAACGAGCGACAATGGACGTCACCACCCAATCCACATGAGCCTAATCGACGTCGATCGCTATGATAATGAGTGTATACCTGAAGTGTATCGAAGTAATAAATTAGCTTATATCAAGGACAGTTCAATTTCGAAGAATTGCTCTCGGACAATAAGGGTAAATACATCCTTCAGATTGCAATCTCTTTTGCATGGAGTTTATTGTCTTTAATTCATGTTCCATGTATGAACCCTTTTGGTTAAAGAGAAGGTCTAAAATGGTGTCGTTGATGATTTGTTTTGTCTATATTGTTTGGCAACCCATTTAACATCCGTTGCTATATATGTGGCGCTTGATGTGCATAGTCAATCCATTTCAACTGGTTACTTGGTGTTACACAGACACATATTAGTCTCTGAGTATCATTAATACATTGTCGGTAAGGAGATCTGTCTTAATCTGGATGTCCTGAAGTTTCTCATGCAGGAACTTGTGGGATCCCATCCTTGGGGCATGACTACACACTATGGATATGTGCACGTCCATGTGCGTTCACCTCTCCATCTCTGTAGTAAATGAACTTAAACAAATGATTCATATCAAAAAAAAAAAAAAAAAAATTGAAACCTTATTCAACAAAGTAGGTTTCTGTCAGGCATACCACAGATCTGGCTGAAAGTATCATGGAAGTGTCTTCCAGGATCTAAATTCAGTGTCCAGATAGAGGTTTTCAAGAAGTTTTCAGCAGAGATTATATAAGGATCAATATTACTGTTAATCTACAGATTGATGTGGTAACTCTTTTTGTTAGTGACATATTTAACAGAGGAGCTGATGGTTAAATTAGCTATGAACAAAACTAGTAAAACTACCTGTTTGAAGGCATCACAACAACAATAATCAAAGTGTCATTCCTAAGAAGCTCCGAACTGAATATAAAAATATCAACCGGCTCTTTTCCTTATAAACTGGCAGTGAGGTTTGGTACCCCATACAACCGATTTACTGAAGGAGGATCTAACAAAATGGTGTTCAGGAATTTATCGCAATACCTCACCACAAATGGTACTCATAATACTCTCTACTGCTATGGAGCCAGTTTAATGAACATATATTTCACATGTCAATTGTGAGAAACCAGGTGCAAACTGGCGTAACTCATGTCATGAAATATGTGGATTTAATTTTTACTTTTTTTTTGTTAAATTAAATTCAAGAAAGAGAAAAAAATGAAATTCTACCCGACACGTGTTTTCATTTTTTAATTCATCAGAATTTGAGGATATCTAAGCTTTACATATATAAAAAACAGTTCTACAGAGTAGTAGATACTTGAGTTTTCTAGTATGTCTCATGAAACTTACTTATAAGGGCGTTGTTGTTTTTGTGAAACAAGTAAAGGTAGTTATTCCTTCTATTATGACATTTATCACACTGGCAGACAAGCTTAAGTGAGCATATAACCTTCTTGTGTAATCTTGTTCACTTTTCTGGTCTAATGAAGCTATATTATTTGCTTTTATAGATTTTCCATATACCTTGGACAAACTGAATTGTCAGTTTATAGATGGATCTCCTTACATGTATAACATGCATTCTACTATTATCTTAGCTCTTTTCCATCGCTTGTTCCCTCTCTCTGAATTTTTCTGTGTCTTGTCTTAGAAGTATCTATTTTTAGTTTTTTGCACTCTGATTTCGCAAAAATTGCCCTTAACTTTTCATTCTATAAAGCAGCAATGGTATGCCTCTTCTTCCTTTTCCTTCCACTTTACCTGTGTCTTATGTCATAAGATTTTTCATCTATATCTCTTTTTGCTAGTTAGTAAATCCACTGCACGAGCTTCTCATGGCCATTTGCTTTGACTAAGAATCACCCATTTATCTTTCTATGTAAATTGGATTTCACATGCTAGGTCCTACTATCTCAAGTTTTAGATTCTTTGTTTCAAATCATCCATTAAGGCTAAACAGTTCCCCCATTTCATCGATCAGTACTTGTGTTCTTAACTAATACGCAATAGAGTAGTCCTCCTGGAGTAGATTTGTCCTTTGTGTAATTAATATTCTGTCCACATTGTCCTTTCAACCATTTTCCTTTGATCAATTTATTCAAATATCTTAACTTAGTCGCTATTGTTTTTTGCCTTAACTTCTAAATGGTTTCACTGGGAATGAGTAGTTCAATTTTCAACTTTGTAGTATGTTTGTGAGTTTGTTATTTGGTTACATTGGTGCTGCTGTTCCTCAATTTACCCAAATCCGTTTCCTTGCAATCCAACCTGATGGCTGACATGAAGACATACATAACGAAGCCTGCTTTTTAACCCTATTGATGTCAGGCAGCCAACTAAATGCATATATAACTTCAATGATCCTTCTCCTAGATATCTATTCATGTTTCAGCAGATTTGGTTTTCTCAACTTACTAGTATTACATTCCATGAATTGTCAATAGCTTGGAATGCACATCTATAGGTTGTGCAGTTTTTAGTTGATAGCTACTTTGTATCTTAGGTGGGTGAAGCATGCTTCCAGATTTTATACTCAACAATTCAAAGAAGTTGATCTCACTTGCTTTTGCTTTCTGTTTGTGGTCATAGTTATGACCAAAACTGCCAACAATAGAATTATTACTTTTGATTTTCAATATGCTTCTATGATGCACGATGACCTCACGGTTTGTAGACAACCTACATATGAGCTATGCATCATTTTCTAATCTACTATGATACCTTGTTTGTTTGATTTTTAAATTTCTGTGGATCTTGTTGCTTTCACTATATGTAACTATCTGCAGTGTAATTTTCCTTCAGAAGTTTGGTGTTTTTTTTTCAAGTTAGTCATTTGACAGGACTTACATGGGTTCTATGATGTTACTTCAGGTTCAGAGTCATATGAAAGCACCAATCTACATATATTATGAGCTTGACAATTACTACCAGAACCATCGGAGGTATATTCTTTATCTTCCATTTTGCTTGTCTAACTAGTTAGATTATTTATTTGAAAGTTTTATGTAGTTACGCTGTCTTGAATTAAAAAAGACAAATTTAAATTTCTGGGCATATTTAATGTCTGCAATGCTGTCCAGGTATATAAAGAGTAAAAATGATAAGCAGCTTGTTCGTGGATTGGATCAAAAGGACACTAGTACGTGCCAACCTGAAGAGTATAGCAATGGCCTTCCAATAGTCCCTTGTGGGTTGATTGCATGGAGCTTGTTCAATGATACCTACACTTTTGTTCGTGAAACTGTAGAAATGAATGTGAAGAGGAAGAACATTTCGTGGGAAAGTGACCGCACTCACAAGTATGGGAAAGATGTCTATCCATACAACTTTCAAAATGGAACATTAATTGGTGGAGCGAGGCTTGATCCTAGCATTCCTGTGAGTACTTCATCTTAGCAATATGCTATTATACTCTTAAATTTGATTCGGCTTGATCCTAGCATTCCTGTGAGTACTTCATCTTAGCAATATGCTATTATACTCTTAAATTTGATTCTCTTACACTTTTTCAGTAACTAATAAGCTAAGAAAATGGTAATATGTTAATTTAGGAATTTACACAATCATTTTTGCTAGAAGAATCGTTACCAGGATGGGTGCAAGACCTCACGGGTTATAATTAATTCTGCAATCACTATAAGGCTTGGCCCTTGAGGGATGTCATCCCTTTTAGTTCTTGAGAATTATTTGTTGACTTGTTGACGGTCATGTCCACAACCATCAAGAACTTGTCCCAATTATTTGGTGTTAGCCTTCAGAAAATCTTCTTCACTACTTTGCTCCCAACATGAAGCAGTAGCATGCTTTAATGCTTATATATTGGATCCATCACTTAGCAATTTCATGGAAACTTTATAAGGGTGATTAGGTCCCACTGTGAAAAGGATATGATACCAGTAATATAACAGAGGAAATAACCCTTAATAGAGAGGAGATTCATTTAACTGTCTCCAAAAGTTTGATATAGTGCTATGTTGTTTAGCGTTGTGCTTCTGTGCAATAAGGTTTCCAACGATGTCTAGGTTAAAACGATGGAATGGAAAGGTCAAGTTACCATGGTATTATTATATATATATGATATATATTAGTATATATATATAGATAATATATATATATATATATATATTATATATATATATTAGTAAAATGGGTATGCTTGGTACCCAAGCACAAATTTTGTGCTTGGTAGTGATTGTTCTTCATCTACCACTACCGTGTGAATTGGTCCATATTTTGATATGAGTGTGACGAGGATGTGGACATCCTCTACCAGCACATTTTTGTGTGTACGGGAGAAGGCTACCCATATTGCTCTTCATCTTCTCTCTATATATATATATATGAGTCTCTCTCTCTCTCTATATAATATACTAATATATAATATCATAATATTAATATATATATATTAGTATATATATACTATATATATATGAGAAAATTGAGTAGCTTGGTAACCTGAAGCACGTAAAGTTGTGCTTAGTAGTGAGGTGTAAATCGCCTTCACACCTCATTTAAAATGTTGCATATCCCAGCACTTCTCAACCTGTGAATGCGGTTCCCATTTGATGAGCGAGAGGGATTGTGGCCACTCACTACAAGCACAAAATTTGTGCTTGGTACTAGACATACCAATTCTCTCTCTCTCTCTTCTCTATATCTATATTATATTCGTATATAGTTTTATTAATATTATATATAATATAATTATATATAATATATATATATATATATATATAGGAAGAGAGAAAGAAAGAAGTGAAAGAGTAGAAATATGGGTATCCTTGGTGCAAAATATAAATTTTTGGTGCTGGTAGTGAGGGGTGATAATCTCCTCCGCCATTTAGCATCATCAAATAGGGGCAATTCATGGGTTAGGAGTGGTGTGGATATGCAACCATTTGAAATGAGTGAGGGATATATAACATCACTAGCAAAACAACTTTTTGTCTTGGTACTGAAAGATACTCATTTTTCTCATATATATTATATATATAATAGTTATATATATGTTATTATATATCTAGTATATATATATTAATATTATATAATATATATATATATAATATATATATGATAAACAATGGGTATGCTTTGTTGAGGTACTATTCTCCACTCATTGAAATCGGGCACATTATTATATATAGTATATATATATATATATAGTTATATAATATTATTATAATATATAATCTGTGGGCCCCGATTTCAAATGAGTGAGGGGAAGATATGTATCTTGGTAGTGAGGTGAATATTCGCCTCACTATTGACATGCGGGCACATTATTATAATTTATATATTATTATATAAATAATATATATATATATAATATATTATATATATTATAGGGAAACTAATAAGGATAAGACAAGAAAGTATATTATCAGATAAGGCATCTTGAGTTGTTTGTGTTAGAAAAAGGACCATAAATAGGCTGTGTACCCTTAATAAAAAAGATATGAGTGTACAATAAATAATGAATACTGAGCTTAGCTGATGTACATCGTATTCCAATTTCCAATTTCCAATTTCTAACTTATGGTGTTTTTCCTTACTCGGAATGTTGCTCCCAAATAGCTTAGTGAGCAGGAAGATCTTATTATATGGATGCGAGTTGCTGCTCTTCCCAAGTTCCGGAAGCTGTACGGCATAATTGAAGAGGACCTGGAAGCTGATGAACTTTTAACTGTCCACCTCACGAACAACTATAACACTTACAGCTTTGGCGGAAAGAAAAAGCTCGTTCTTACAACATCAAATTGGCTGGGAGGAAAAAACAATTTTCTTGGCTTAGCCTACATTGTTGCTGGTTGCTTCTCCATCTTCACTGCCATTTTGTTTGCTTTGCTTCATGTGAAAAATCCCAGGTGAAGTTAATTGTGCATAATGTATTATTATTATCATTGTTGTTATTTTTGTTTAGAGTTACCTTTTCTTGTACAACTTTTATGTGGTTCAAAAAGTTACTCTGTTTTGAGAGTTTTTTGTAATCCAATTGTTCTTTCCTGTCTAATTTTTGTGGGAGTTTTGGTTGCGAAAATTTGGTTTTGAGTACATTTTATTTGTGATGTTGGTTGTGCAATCATTTATTTGGTAGCAATAATGTGGTCCTGTGAAATGTTATTATGTTGCATACCTAGTTCACACTATACCTTCAACCAAAAGGAAGAGCTGTGATCGAATTTGACTCCTTATTCGTCATTGGCATTTGTATTTTTAGGTTAACTGGGGATAGAACCCCTCAGTGAATTTTTTGGAGCTTTTTCAGGGGCTATCTGTAACTGTAGATTTTCACTCTGGGGATCTACATGTAGCAATAGGACTCTTGTAGGGGTTCTATCTTCAACAATAGAACTCGACTACATGGGTAATAAGTTCAATTTGGCGATAGTACAGAGGTGGTCTATCTGCAATTAATCCTTTTAAAACTAATCCACTACGTCTCCTCGAGCTGAGACGTTACTTGGATACATGCCAATATTGAACTTGGAGATGCTGTATTCTGCATCTTTATGCAGACATGATATATGCTGGAATTCGGGCATGATTATGTTTTCCCCTCCTTCCTTTATTCTTAGTTTTACTTGTTTTCTTTTTGGCGCATCGCTATTAGTTCACAATTACAATTATTTATGCTTCTCCAATTTGCAATGCAGGACACAAAGTGATGTAGCATGTTCTTTAAACAGAAAATTCAGCGCTAGATAATACGGCAAAGATGAGAAGGCAGTGTTTTGAACCCTTTTCATCTTTTTTCAAGCCAACCGGGTTTCAAATGCTCTTTCTCTCACAGTACATACATATCTTCATCGCAAGGTGGCAGGAAACCATCTGTGACATAAATTCCTTGAAAATGTATTGTTCAACAGTGCAGGAGTGTATATATCGATGTTGTTGTACCTTCTTATTTAAAACTTTCTGCGTGATTCTTGTAACGCATTTGATGTATACTCTGTATTGTTTGTTCAAAGATCGGTTCGAACATTAAAAAACTACAGGTAGTTTTTTGTTTCTTCATGTCTTACCCTCCAGTTTTGATATGCCCACACATTCATATCGCGGATCGTTGCGCTGCTGATTTTAGTGTTGGTTATATTTTTGGTCAATAATGTAGTTGTTGCTATTTCTATTTGATGTAAATAATTTGGCGTAGCATCCTAAGTATAAAGATAAAGTACAAAACAAGAAGAAAATCATAAAACAATCAAAATAAAAACAGATAATTCACGAAAATGACAACAATAATAATAAAAAGTAATAAACACTCCAAATTGCACACCTAAGAAATCCAACTACTCATCAACCAGTCATTAATTACAATACTTGACCATAATCATTATTCACGACCTACGAGAAATTAGAACAGCTGGAGAGGAGTATTATTTTGAAAAAGGGCAAAAATTTCAAACATATCATGAAATTGGGGGGGTTTTACATTAGCCCACGACATAACTTTTTATTACTGAAAACTACCATGCATGAACTTTCTAATCCGCGAAAAACCCAATGAAATCATATGCGAAGCACGTGACAAATTACCGTGACCGCCCCTCAAACATTGTAATTTAGAGAGAAAGTTTCATGCTATTTTTATCTAACAAAAATATTTTACGATAATTTTACGCAAAACCCACCACAATTTATGATAGTTTTTGTAAATCTTCCCCACCCTTTTAATTAATTAATTAATCAAAGCGACGCCTGAGTTGACCGGGACCGGATTATAACAACTTGAGTCGCGGCGTGGGCCACCATCCTCCTAACGGCCCTCATTATAAGCCCAACGCAGAGCCCAACAGGCCCACGGACGCACTCTTGCCACCGCGAGTTGAAAATCCGTTGCCATCTCATTTGGCGCCAAACACTCGTGAACCAGTTCTGGTCACGCGCGGCTATGATCGCCGCCGATTGCAGGTACGCCGAGGCTGCATGCTTGACGAGCTGGTTCTTGATCGATATCGTCGACGAGTTGATGTCGAGGACGGAGGAGTTTCTTCTGGCGACAGGAGGGTCGGCGGCAGAGAACACGTCCTTGAGGCTAGTGTACTTGACATCAGACTGATGGTCGTCCCTGATGATGATGCTTGAACATTTGCTCATGGACCGGGGTGTGGAGCTCTCTAGCTTCTGCAGCTCCGTCTCCATCGCTTATCATTCCTCTTGATTTGTTTGTGTTTTTTTCCCTCCCTTTTTTTTGCTTGTTATTTAAGGCTTTTTATTTTTTTGGCGAGGAGAGTGAAAAGTGGGATTTAGATCTTATTAGGGTTATTTTTTTGTTACGTTTGTTAGGATTTTGCTTGATTTAGAGGAGATTGACTCGGACAATTTGTTTAAATTGCTCGATTTAGCTAATAATAATGGGTTTAGAATGTCCAAAGTTTGTGAGTCAAGTTTCAGCCCACATGGCAGCCCATTTAGCCCATAATATGCCTCGTTGTGATTATATTTTAACCTTCATGCAATCTTTATATATTTATTACTTATTAGAGATCTATTATTGCTAAATGGTAACCGCGAAATTAATATTTGGTAAATGGAACTAATTAAATGCACTAGATAGTTCACTTCATCAATTCTGGAGCACGTGATGCGCGCATGCACACAGTACACACTTTTTACTCACAGTAAAATGATTTATTTATTTTGATAGAATGCAATCACAACAAATTAAAAAGGATAAAAATATGAATTAAGAACAAGTCTTTATTTTTATTAACATGTGGATTATAAATTAGCTGAGACCCGTGCGATGCAAAATAGGAGGATTGATCTCTATTCTTGGTAGAAGATGGTTATCAAGAACGTTACAAAAACAGAAAGAATCAGGAGTTAGTTTTTTAGTTGAGATATTTGAGATAAGAACGTTAGAAAAAAAAATGGTAATTCATTTAGGGGGTGTTTGTTTGCATGCAAGTGAAAGATGAAAGTGAGGAAGTTACTTTCATTTAACAATTAAGGTGTTTGTTTTCATGTAAGTGGTTATGAAAGTGAGATGTAAGAAAGTTGTCACATAAGATTTAATGTAATTTTGACTTCCCCTAAAAAAGTGGTGAAGTCACATGAAAGTGACAAAAATGTAACTAATTTAATTAAATAATTTTAATTATATTTTCTAATTAATCTTATTTTGCCACATCATCTTCACATTGCACTTTCGATAATAATTTAATTTTTCAAACAAACACTGTATTTCACTTGCGTGCTGACATGGATGTAAAAGTCATTTGCAAAAAAAAGTAACTTACATATTTTAAATTCACTTTTAGAATGCCAAACACCCCCGGGTGTTTGGTAATCTGAAAGTGAATTTAAAATATGTAAGTTACTTTTTTTTTGCAAATGATTTTTACATCCATGTCAGCACGCAAGTGAAATACAGTGTTTGTTTGAAAAATTAAATTATTATCTAAAGTGCAATGTGAAGATGACGTGGCAAAATAAGATTAATTAGAAAAGTATAATTAAAATTATTTAATTAAATTAGTTACCTTTTTGCCACTTTCATGTGACTTCACCATTTTTTTAGGGGAAGTCAAAATTGCATTAAATCATATGTGGCAACTTTTTTGCATCTCACTTTCATAACCACTTACATGAAAACAAACACCTTAATTGTTAAATGAAAGTAACTTTCTCACTTTCATCTTTCACTTGCATGCAAACAAACACCCCCTTAGTTAAGATTTGCGTTTTTTGAGATTTTTGGATTTAATTTAAGTAGAAGAAAAGAAAAATGAAGCCAAAACGTGGGATGCACGTAGTTTCTATGCATTTTACCTGATTATCCTTTTAAAATACTAGTTTCTATGCATGTGCAATGCACGTAGTTAAATATAAAAATTATTATTATTATTATTTATTTTCTTGCTATAAAATAAGCCAGTTCATCTTGAGTTAATCTTTATACATGGATTATTACATTTGACATAAATTTTATTTAAACATTTTTAAAAATTTTATGAAACAAATTTGCGTGTAAAACTGGGATCAATATACTTTTATATACTTGTATACACAACATTATTTTTTTAAATTTGTATATATCAAACTTCATATAACATACTTGTTTATCGAATCAAATCATTAATCTCCAATTTGTTTATCTTAGTCATTAAATGTAGTGTTAAGTTTTAAAAAAATACAATAATGTATTGTTGATGTGTTAATAAAATATAACCAAAGACTTAATATTAAGATGGTTTATATAAGCTCAACACAGAGTACATACTTTTCACAAGACTACAAGACATCTTAATTATTGATAGACTTAAAATAAAAAATAAAAAATAAATATTACTGGTGACTAGTATAATTTTATATGACAAAATCAATCACATAAGCATATTAAAAATTTTGCTTCAAAATCTCTTTTGAAGGTTCCTAATTTACTCAAAAGATTAAGTTCTATAATAAAATATTTAAATTATTATTATTTGTTCCTTCTTTTTCATATTTAGTTGAGAACGAGATCAATCATTCTCCACATTTATCTTTTTCTTGGGCAATTCTACAGGAGTGTCTTCATCGTCTATATCAATTGTAATATTAGATTGGTATATAATAAAGAGCAAAAGACAAGACAATAGTCCAAAAATATATTAGTATATACTTAGATCAATTAAATTATATTATTACTCATAATTGATATGCATCAGAGACAAAATGTGTCGACAATCTTAAACTATAAAACAGACTGTATGGGCCCTCTAATAGAACTTTTTTAATGCAAGCAACCCTCAAGATTAATTTTGAAAATCTTTTGGGGTCAGGAATAAACAGCTAACAAGTTTGCAGTGAAAGCTAAGAGAACGCAGTACATTCCTACGAATTATTAATCTTTACTTAATTTATTTATAATGACAGGATCTCATTATTAACTAACTACAAGGCCTAGTATATTATTTTTTATTGGATGTTCAAGGCAGGCAGAGGACCCGGATGAGTCCTCATCGTAATGAATGTTATACAGTTTAAGTAAAAAGAAAAAAGGAGCATTGATCAATGTTGTAGTTGATGAGGGGGAAACTCTAACAACTTAATTTGGGTATGTGGATATATTATAGATGAAGATGGAGAATGGTGGTTTTAAAAACAGTGAGTGTGTGGGGTAATTAATATGATTTTTGTTTGTATGGTTTTCTTCGTTCATTTTCAAGATATATATATAGTCCTATGGATATATATAGCTATATCATTACTATTCTCTTTTGGCTTTGTGGAAGAGTTTGGGTGAAAAAATAAATTATCTAATCCGGTTAAAACAGGATCGTATAAGTTAAGCCCAAGCATGAAATTTATTTTAACAAAAACTAATATGTAAGTATTACAATTGGCATTGAGATCTAAAATACGTGTGAGATTTTTTTTTTGATTTTTCTACAAATAGTATCTATTTAAATAATAATAGTATAATTAAACTTTGTGATCTAAAAAAAACATCAAATATACAATATAATTAATTACTTTAAAATAATATAATCTAATCAAATAAGAAGAAAATAGATGAAAATGATGTAAAAATTATTGCAATTTCATAATTCATAATTTTTAAACAATATAATCTAGTAAGAAGAAAATAACAAAGACACATACCTATTGAAGGAGGTGAAAGTGTTATAAAAATTATTGCAATTTCTGATATAAAAAAGATCAAACATACGATATAATTAATTACTTTAAAATAATCTAATCTAATCTAATAAGAAGAAAATAGATGAAAGTGATGTAAAAATTATTGTTATTTCTTAATATGAAAAAAGATTAAATATGTAATATAATTAATTGCTTTAAAATAATCAAATCTAATCTAATAAGAAGAAAATAACAAAGACACATATCTATAGAAGAAGATGAAAGTGCTATGAAAATTATTATAATTTCTTAGCTTATATATATTTGGCATGTGATTTTGCATGTGAGAGAATAACAATTATAAATAGAGTTCTATATAAAGAATAATAGTATAATTAAATTTTGAAACAAATTATGCAGTATCATGAACTACTTGAAGTTTAGTCGGTGAGAAATCGCCATGTTGTGTCCTTAGATCACAACCATTTATTTTAATTTTTCTTTTTTATAATTTTGAGAACGACTCTCGTCTGTTTAATTTGTTTGGTGGATTTTGTAATATCTCATCCATATTATGTACATTTGTAGGTTTGCGTTGTTCCTAGGTTCGACATTTGGGGCAGACATTATTTGTCTCGTTGATTTGTTTGGTTTTTGCATATACGCCCTTCATCTTGTATACATTTGTAAAGTTGAGATTTAATAATTTCATTCGGGTTTACATTTCAATTTAAACTATATCCCTATCTTTATACTATGTATATCCAATAAGAATTCATCAATTTATCAACTTACTTTTACTTAATGGATTAGTATTTGAATTTCAATGGAATTTTTATCTACTGAAAATTTTTTCCGAACTCGTGCTTTTAAAGGGAGTATGATCTAAAAGAATAGTTAATTACATGGTATAATCTTCCAAACGTGTCGTCTATTAAGCTGTGAATTTTTAGAAGTTGTGAGTACAATTTTGGGATATGTTTGGGAATTTTTTAAATGTTGACTAATTAGGAGTAGAACATCAAAAAATAGCTTCTCTTAAATAGTAGTAATAGATAGGG